CACACACACACACACACACACACAGAGAGAGAGAGAGAGAGAGAGAGAGAGAGAGAGAGAGAGAGAGAGAGAGAGAGAGAGAGAGAGAGAGATTAAAATGGGGGCGAGGGAGAGAGCATGATTCAATTGTAGAGAGACTTGCAGGGTCTCCCTGGGGTTGTGAAAGGATGATTACATGGGCACTTTCAGTAATGTGTGTGTTTGTGTGTGTGTGTGTGTGCACGCGCGCACGTGAGAGAGAGAGAGAGGGGGAAGAGAGATTTCTATTTTTATACCATCACTTCTGTTTATTTCTGTTTTTATATCATCACATCTGTTTACTTGATTCTCTCTCCCTCATCTGTTTACTTGATTCTTTCTCCCTCATCTGTTTACTTGATTCTTTCTGCAAACCCTGCAGGGAGCTTGGATTGGCACCGCTGCCAGACTGTGACAACCGTTCTGCTGATGGGCCAGCAGCTGTTCTCAGGCTCAGCTGCATCACTCCAGAGTGTTAGTGTTACAGAAGGGAAAGTCGAGGGGAGAAGGTTTCAGTGAAGAACGAGTGCCATTGGCGAAAAGGGGAGATCTACGCAGCTGGGGTGAAGAGCAAGCAGTCTGACAAACAGAAGAGCTGAGGCGAGATGGTCCCGGTACCTGACAGCGAGCAGCCAGATTCGTCACTGCAGGTTTCATCTCCTCGGAGCAATGGCGGTCAAGGGAGGGCAGCGTTATCTGCCGATGACTTGGTGGCACGGGGGCATGCTCCCATGAAATGTGAGTACTTGAAAAACTCAATGAAGACAGAGCGGGTAAATGACGAGGAGTCTGAGAGGTTGGTGACGATGACTGCAACCAGCGCATCGCAGGACACTGCGGATGCTTCTGACACTATCGATGATGCAGCAGAAGGGGCAGGTGCAGTGCGAGGCACGGGAGGGAAAATCTCAGCCGTGAAGAAATCGAAGAAGGCACAAAAGAGGGAAAGGCGGGAGCTGCAAAGGTCTGTGCTGGTGCTCTGTGGAGCAGTTGCAAAAGCGGGAACTGTGGACGGTTGTCGCTTCGGCGAACGATGCCAGTTTAATCATGATATTGCTGCATACCTGGCGCACAAACCAGCCGACCTCCCTGGACCTTGCCCCTTCTCCACCCAGTTGTCAGAGCCGAATCTCTCCAGGGCATGCCCATTCGGAATTACGTGCCGGTTCGCCTCATCTCATCCTTTGAACCTCAAGAAAGCTGGCGGGACATTAGTGTCAGCCTCGGGAGTACCAGGGTCAGCGGCAGCCACTGCTGCAAGGACTGAAGGAAGTAATAAGTGTCCAGATGCAGATGTCCCTGAGGAGAATAGCAAAGAATTGCTGGTGCAGGGCGGATGCGTCAGAGTGAAACATGACGACAACGGGAACAGGACATCCACTGCGTGTCCGGGATCAGAGGCTGCAAGCGAGAGAACGGAGGAGGGAATTGTTGCATCGTGCCCAAGAAAGGAGGAGAGGGGGTCGGAGGCGGCGAGTGCTAGCACCAAGGAGGGGATTACATCGTCGTGTCCAAAGGAGGAGGGGAGGGATGAGGGGGGGGAAGAAGAGGAGGGGGAAGAGAAAGGGACAGACGTTCTCGCTGAGGGAGATCAGGGTAAGGGTAAGCACAACAAGAAGGGAATTGCTGCATCGTGCCCAAGAAAGGAGGGGAGGGGGTCGGAGGCAGCGAGTCCTAGCACCGAGGAGGGGATTACGCCGTGTCCAACAAAGGAGGAGAGGGATGAGGTGGGGGAAGCAGAGGAGGGGGAAGAGAATGGGACAGCCGTTCTCACTGAGGGAGATCAGGGTAAGGGTAAGCGCAACAAGAAAGGAGAGTACCATGGCATCACGGGAGAGGCAAATAGTCTTCCGAAGGGCTTGCGAAGTCAGCTGTGGAAGAACAAAGTGAAGTTCAAAAGGGCAAACGTCGCCCTCCGAGCGTTAGGCATCTTCAAGGACAAATCCGAAAAGAACGCCAACGATGACTGCAGCAATGGCTCGCAGATGGATCACGCCGAACCTGTGGTGGAGAGCGTTGACACTGCTGCAAATTCTGCTCCAGGGAGAACGGAGACTGTTGAGGCGGAAAATGTTGATCACACTGCCACTGCTTCTTCGGATGGTAGAGAACCGGACTGGAAACCGCCTAGTCGCGATGATGCTGATGTAGCAACTGCCACGGGGAGGCAACAAAACGGTATTGAGCTGCAAAGTGATGTGACTTATAACGACTCGACAGAGCATCAGGACGGCAAGCTGCATCATGATGTTGGTCATAATGACGATGACAGGGAGCAGGTAGACGTCATTGTCGAAACACAATTACCACCGAGCGCAAGTCGGGAGAAAGCTGAAGGTGACGGTGATGATTGGCAAGCTGCAACTCCAGCACCCACTTGCAAGAGAGAGGTCGTCGAAGACTCTTCTTTTTCTTGTAATTCTTCTTCCTCTGAGGCATGCACAATGCCGCCGGATGGACGGAAAGTACTTGGTGATGTGCAGTCGACTGTGTGTGTGGGTCAGGAGAGAGATGAAGGGGCACATGACGATTGGCAAGGCGTTCACCTGCCGGAGGCGGCACCAGGGGTGGCATGCAAAGCCGCAACCGTTGGAGCCTCTCCCACTTCTACTTCCGATCAATCGAAAAAGTCGCTGGACGAGGAGACACCGCATGTCAATGTGGAGGTGACTGACGCGCCACGTACTCGGTATGGTGGAGATTGTGGTGTTGTGGGGGAGGGTAAGGAATTGAAGTGGGGAAGGCGCGAGAAGAGGGCGATCGACTTCCGTGGAAAGCTTTACCTTGCGCCTCTGACGACTGTCGGAAACCTTCCCTTTCGGAGAGTCTGCAAGCAGCTAGGGGCTGATGTTACTTGCGGAGAGATGGCTATGGCGACGAACTTGCTTCAGGGCCAGAGCTCCGAATGGGCGCTTTTGAGAAGACATGAGAGCGAGGACCTGTTCGGGGTGCAGATATGCGGCGGCCATCCCGATTCCCTGGCCAGGGCGTCGGAACTCATCGAAAGGGTGTGCGATGTAGATTTTGTTGACATCAACATGGGTTGTCCGATTGACGTTGTCTGCGGCAAGGGTGCAGGGTCGGCACTGCTCAACAAAGTGTCGAGGATGGAAATGATCGTGCGGGCGGTGTCGGGAACTCTGGAGTGCCCGCTGACTGTGAAGTTGCGCTCCGGATACGCGGACAATCGCAACACTGTGCATACTGTTCTGCCGAAGCTGCGCGAGTGGGGAGCGTCCGCTGCGACGGTTCATCCGCGATCAAGGCAACAGAGGTACACCAAGCTCGCCGACTGGGATTACCTGAGACGAAAATGCGCAACCGAGACTGTGACCGATAGTATCCAGCTGGTCGGCAACGGAGATCTGTTCTCCTTTGTCGACTACAACGAAAACATGGAAGCTTCACGATTGGCGACTTGTATGATCGCCAGGGGAGCGCTGATCAAGCCGTGGCTTTTCACGGAGATAAAGGAGCAGCGTCACTGGGACATTTCCGCGACCGAGCGCCTAGAGCTGCTGAAGGACTACTGCCGATTCGGTTTGCAGCATTGGGGTTCTGACAACCAAGGTGTGGAGACGACAAGGCGCTTCTTGCTCGAGTGGCTGAGCTTCCTGCACAGGTATATCCCTGTAGGTTTATTGGAGAGAGTGCCGCAGAAGATGGCATGGAGGCCACCTGCCTATTATGGGAGGAACGACCTTGAGACGCTTATGGCAAGTGACAGCGCAGCAGACTGGGTGCGAATCAGTGAGCTGCTCCTTGGGCCAGCACCAGAATACTTTACATTCACTCCAAAACACAAGTCCAATGCCTACGACAGTACAGTGGAGAATGGATAGCTTCCCATCATGATATCCTTTTTTCCTTTTTTTTTTTTTTCTTTTTTTTTTTGTACAAACAGAACCTTACGGTTCTGTCTCCTTGTCCATTCTGGTGAGCGCCAGTCCAGTTCCCATTCCCCCGGCAAGTCGAAAGGGAATACAATAGATGCTCACGGAGTCTCGCGCAGCCTGCCATCATGATATGAAGTTATTAACTTATTATGATGAACTACTATTTTTTTGTGTTTTTTTTTTTTAACCTGTGGCATGCTATCTATATGATGCGATGAACTCCTAAACAACAACTTCTTGAATGACTGACTCTTCATTTAGTGGGGAGAGGCGAGGAGGGGGTGCCAGGTGTAATCCCTACCGTCTTCACCCTAATAGAATGCCCGGTCATTATAGCTGTATATAGATTGAAAATTGCACCAGATACGGCTATAATGACCGGTCAGTCTATTCGGGTGAAGACGGTAGTGACTGAACAGGAACTGTTCTGAATTTCACCGAACAGGAACTGTTATGGATTTCACCTTCTGCTACCTTCTTCCGCCGAATACGACGTATGGTCATTATAGTTGTATTTGAGGCATCTTTCAGTCTAGATACACAGCTATAATGACCGTAGGTTGTATTCGGCGGAAGAAGGTAGCCACTGTGAATATTTTGTCAGATGCAAAGCAGAAGGTTAAGTGAGGTCAGGAATGATCCTGTGGCTGTAACCGGAAAGTGATCAATCTCGAGCCACAGAAATGCTGCTAGGTGCTCTCTGTTTGTTTTTTCATGTTGTTTTTTTCGTCAGCTTCGCTTCTTGATTGACTATTGCAGTGCTCCATCCGTCTTTACTTCTTTTTTTTTTTCTTTTTTTTTCATTTCTTTTTGGACCGTTTCTCGATTTGTGTGTGTCATCCTTGCACAGGGGCCATGCTAATCTTCTCCGCTCCATATCGCTCCAATTTTTTTTTTAACGGATGTCCCGCAGGACCTGTTTTTACGTTTACTTTTAAACGGACAGAAGACAACCTGGGAAATTTTGCAAAAAGCAGTTCATTCAGCATACCCCACCACATGATCAGCTCTGTGTGTGTGTGTGTGTGTGTGTGTGTGTGTGTGTGTGTGTGTGTGTGTGTGTGTGTGTGTGTGTGTGTGTTTATGTGTGTGTGTGTGTGCGTGTGTGTGTGTTCTCTGCCTATGAATTCAAAATAACTTCAATTTCACGGAGGGATGGAACGCATGCAACCTCTCTCTCACATCTTCCCAGGAAAAAGGAACCCCCTTCTTTTCTGTGTTTTTTTTTGTCTTTCGGCATTAAACCACCACTACCTCCGAGCCTCTTTTTGCCCAGGCGCATTCCCCCTGCTGTGCGCCGAGCTTTCCACGACGAATGGTACACACCTGAGACACCGGCCTGACCCAGCATGAGACTGACAAGCAAAGGCAAAACATTTCAATCGACCGCCCGCACCACACTCTTGGTCTGTCGGCCAGTCACTGCAGTACGGGACAAAGCCGACGTCAGGATCGACCCGTCGAGTCATGCAACGTCAGACGAACGGCAAGTGACCTGCTGGTCTGACACGACATGGAACAAGACAGGTCCAGGCGCAGAACTGGTTGCTAGGTAGGTAGTCCGAACATGGGAGGACATCCAGCCTGCAATGTATTCGAAGTCGTCGGAAGATGGGGGGGTGTGCACCTTGGCTACCACAGTGTGACGGACAACAGCAAAAGACAGTGCTCAACCTCGGGAGAGGCGGGAGAATATACAGGAGCTGGCGCCATGGGCTGTAAGGTTGTCGTCAGAATCTGGCCATCACATGATGATGCCCCATCGTGACTCACGACTTAAGCTTTTTTTTGTCTGAATCTCTACTTGTATATTGTGGTCAAATGCATCCTGGAAGGCGTCAGTACAAGTGTGCCCCACGACTCAGACGTGTCGGTGACTTTCTGCTGAAGAACCACTTTCACGTTGCGATCGAGACCGTCCAAACATGGGTATTTTCACTGGTACCCCCGCCTGATGAGGTAACCACAGGCTGAACAACAGCTTAAACCACTAGTGAATGGGGGCCTGGGCCCTGTCCCATCCTGGTTAAGCTGGGCATTATTATGAGATAACCGCAGGCTAAACAACAGTTAAGAGCACTAGTGAATGGGGGCCTCGTCCCTGTCCCGTGCTCGTTAAGCTGGGCCTGATGAGACAACCCAACCGCAGGATGAACAACAATTGAACCACGCCAGTAAATGGGGGGCGGACTGATCCCTATTTCATGCTGGCTAAGCTGGGCCTGATGCAATAACCGCAGGCGAAACAACAATTAAACCACCAGTAAATGGGGGGCTGATCCCTATGCCATGCGGGCTAAGCTGGGGCTGGTGACATAACCAAAGCTGAACAACAATTAAGTTGAATTAACGCACCATATGTGGTTGTGTGTCTGTGTATGTGGCTGTGTGTCTATGGATGTGGCTGTGTGTCTGTGTATGTGGCTGTGTGTCTGTGTATGTGGCTGTGTGTTACCCACCAATAAATAGGGGGCTGATACCTGTGTCATGCTGGGTAAGCTGGGCCTGATGAGATCAACTGGGCGTTGGACAACAATTAAACCACCAGTAAACCTGGGGGTTGGGGGTCTGGTTTTCTTTTCTCACTCTTTTTTGTTTCACACTGAGAAAGCTCTTTTGTCCATTCGTGGGGAGCAGCACGTACTGGTAAACGGCCCCACCGTCCGCTATGAACATATGATGGCGGACACTTGTATGAAACCCAGTCACGACGAAATTTGGAAGGTGACAGCATTGGTTGCCCTGGCCATACCCCAAGAGACATCGTCGGTCAGCTTTTGTGGCTATGCCTATCAGACCCTCGGGCTCATGCGCACAGGATGGTCAGAGTGGGGCCTTTGAGTTGGAAAACAATTCTTCGGGCCGAAACGCCATCAGTCCACAAGTGGTTAACGGGGACCCCCACTTTCACCTCCTGAGTAACGGGTCGAAATCTGAAATTTCAATTTAGAGTTCGGGCCTCAATTTTTATGTTTTCTAAGTTCTTCTTAAGTTTTTAAAGGGGGGTTTGTTATTCATGGCATTAAAAGTTCTCTAAATTGAGACGCCTCCGTTAACCCCCTCTCGTATATTCGTATTTCCTAAAGCCATGCCCGTTAACAAGCCACGATTTTAGCAAACGTACGGGCCACCACAGGAGTGACCGAACTAATGGTTCTGCTCTATTTTTTTTTTGAAATAACTGTGTGGTCACTGACCGGTGCACAGTTCCGAATTCTTTTGCAGGAAGGAATTACAACAGTAACAGGGCACAGTGACTTTGTGAGTGACTTTGCAGGAAGGAATTACAACAGTAACAGGGCACAGTGACTGCGCGGTGACTGACCGGTGCATAGTTCCGAATTCTTTGTAGTATGGTTATGGGCTGAGAGAGGGCAGTTAGAAACTGCAAAAAGCAGATTCTGAACTGTGACAGCTTAAAGTTTGTGCGCTTCTAGCTGTTCGTTGGAAGTTCAGAAGTGGCAAAATCAGGCGGCCACTCGTTTTTTTTTTTTTTTTTTTTCCGTGCCTGCTTATGCCACGGCCGAGCTGTCTAGGCCACACCCGTGGCTGGGGCATGGCCGAGATGTCTTGGCCACGGCCATGGATGGGTCACGGGCGAGATGTCTAGGCCACGAGGCGAGATGTCTAGGCCATGCCCGTGGCTGGGGCACGGGCGAGATGCCTAGTCCACACCCCTGGGGAAACGAGCCAAGAACAGGAGGGCCTGCTACGGGTAACTGCTCCCAGGCCAGGGGTCAAGTCCCACTAGCAGCATTGAGCTACCTCAACGCATGAATCTGGACGTGTTTGTGGAGACGTGTAGTTCAGGAAACTCAACCCCATTTCTGCACATCTCCGCAAAAGCGTCCAGATTCGGGCGTTGAGGTAGCTCAACGCTGCTAGTGGGACTTAGCCCCAGGCCACGGGAAAGAGTGTGGTACCACTACCGCCACCTCCTGTTTTTGCCAATTATTGAACCGCTAGGCCGCGGAACGCATGATTTACTGTTTCTTCTTGCAGTTTCTGACTCGTCTTCGCCCAAGCGTGCAGTGGACTGTTATTTCTGCGAATTCTGAACTGTGCAGTGGTTGACAGGCGCAGTTGTCTCTTTTTTCCCACTGCCAATAGCTGGGCCACGTACTGGCGGTTTAAAATGGCAGTTGTCATCACCATAGTCGCAACAACAGCGGAGGAGAGGGATCGCAAGGCCCAAGCAAACAGGCGGGAACAGGCAGCAGCAACAGCACCCCAGGTACATAGTCAAGAGGGGTCTTCCCGGAGACCGGCGCTCTGACAGCTAAACAAAGAAAATGCTGATGACTACCCGATCACATTGTGGCGATCTAATCTTGGGATGTAGGGGCATTTCCTCCATAAGCATCAAACGATCTTCTGTAAAGCAGTTTTTTTTGGGAAAGGGCTGCGGACGCCTGGACCACAGCGAAACTAGAGGTGAAATGGTCATATAGGAACAGGAACAAAGGGTAGTCAGTTCCAGGAACAGGAACAAAGGGTAGTCAGTTCCAGGAACAGGAACAAAGGATAGTCAGTTCCAGGAACAGGGCTAGGTCAGAACTACGGAGAGATTTCTACGAGGAAGAGCACCGCCCGCAGCCCCAAAGGGAAAAAGTAGCTCCAAGGCAGAAAGACAAATGACTATAGCCCACACAAAAGGTGCTGCAAAGTGGTTTCCAAGGGACATTGGATCCGGTTTCCAGCAGGTGCCGCTTCCCACCAATAGATGGAGCAGCCCGATAGCCAAGACCTCAAGGAAGAACAAATGGAATAAGACAAAAAGACGTATTATTCATGATTCAAGTAGAAAATGTTAACATCCACCGGCCTAGCTCAGTTGGTAAGGCATGCAAGTGACATTCAGGAGGTCTTGGGTTCAATCCCCATTGGACTCATGTACCTTCCTGGGCAAGCTTGGCACCCGTCACCTAGAGATAGGCCGGTGGTCCCCCCGAGTGGCATTGAGTAGAGGCTGCTGATGTTCATAGGGGGAGGGGGCCAGAGGGGAGGCACAGCGACTGGCCCATTGAACAAGCTCGGTGCTGATGCTACCGGCTGACCCCTGGCTGGTATCGCCCACCTGCTAGAGCAGGTATCACATCATTGGAGGCTTGAGCATGGATGTGGC